GTACCATGATGGCTTTGTACGATGGTGCATTATCGTACAACAAAAACCAACTGCCTGGCTCTCGATATTCCGGTCGAACTCGTCGAATTCTGGCCCACAATCGTTGTAGAACTCCAAGATAATATTCTGCGTTCACCGTCTGACCTTCTGGAACGAATTCACTGTGAACAATTCCCTTTGAATCGAAGAAAACGGTCAGCATTGTCTTGATTTTGCTCTTCTGAAAGCGTAACTTTTTCTCTTTTGGCTCTTCTGGTGACTTCCATGCCGCATTCTGACGTTTATTTTTTGGCTCGTATTGAAAACACCACGTTTCATCACCAGTTACAATGGCTGACATGCTTGCCGGATTCCTTTGGGACATTTTTAACATGTCTTTGCAATGCTGAACACTCCAATCTTTTTGGTCATCTGTCAGAGTGTGTGGCATGAAGCGCGCACAGACCTTCCGTTTGCCCAAATCTTCGGTCAAAATTCGATAGACTGTGCTTTTCGGTATCCCAGTTTCCTCTTCGATGAGTCTCGCAGACACACAGCGGTCGCTTCGAAGAATTTCTTTGACTTTCTCGATGTTTTCTTCATTGCGAGTGGTTTTTGGCGGCGGTGCTCGGTCAGCGTCTGCAAGGTCCTCACGACCGTCACGGAATCGGCCAAACCAACGGAAAACCTGTGCACGGGACATGCATTCATCCCCGTACACATTGTAACGGCCGAACTCCGCGGTTCGGTCGCTGCTACACGTTTCGCGCGGATATTGCCCGTCGGATCCGGGCTCGAGGAGGAGTAAAGTAGCGAGACACTTGAAAAATGGCAATCGAAATAACTTAGCTTTATTGTATGCTTACTAAGATACAAGAGTTCGGCCCCGAAGGCGGTGTCGCGGGTTGCATCTATAAGGCGCGTCGGTACGGTACTGTGCGGTGCGGTGAGCGGTACAAGCGCTCGTACGGACGGATAGGCCGTGCGGAAGGCGGGACCTATTGCGCGACGCGTGTAGACGGTAACGACGATAACGGCGCGGTGATCAGTCTCGCTTCGCGACGCTGGGCGTCTCGGACAATTATCGCCCAATACTCGTCTCGCAATCGCTCGCGTATAGATGGTCGCCGGATCGGAGATTTCGATTCTCGGTCGAACGCACGCACGCGAGTCGCGGGATACGCGAAATGATTTCGTCCGTCGGGGCCGAGGACTCTCGACAGAGAAGGCGTACGCACCTTCCCTTTTCCCTACGTTCGCGGAGAAAAGCGACCAAGTGCTGGGGACACTCAGCGGAGACGGCGGACACACCGCCCCGGGTTCTTGGTCGCTAGACGGATCGCCTAAAGGCTGAGTACGCTCAACGGAGTTCGCCGACGGACGAACCCCTGACTTAAGGCGGCGGGTAATGGCGAGAGACTGTCGAGTACGCTCGACTGAGCACGCGCACGCACGAGCCCAGGAAGACGGGAGACGGCCAAGTATCGAGGGCGCTCGATCGAGACTGCGGACGCACAATCCCGTGTTCTTAGTCGCCGGTCGGGTAGTCGGAAAGCGGAAGGCAGAGCGAAACGGTCCGGATCTTCTAGCTGTCGGCATACAGCGTCTAACTAGAACGGCGGTACGGATCGGTCTGGTGACTAGAAGCTCGATCGCCACCGTTTAATAGTTATCGCGCTACGATTGAGACGGCGGCGATCGAGCGGCGCGCCTATCGGCGCGAGGCACGGTGACGGCGCGTGATCGCGGCCGCGCGCGCTAGCGGCAGCGCGTGATCGCCGCAGCGCGCGCTAGCGGCGGCGCGTGATAGCGGCGGCGCGATCGTTTCGGTAACTTAGGGTGGCGCAAAGTGCCGTTCTTCGGCCCGACAGGTGGTCGGTCGGGCCGGTAGTAACGAGGTGCATCTGCGCCTCGTTACAACATTTTTTAGCGTTTCGTACGTTTCTGCACCACTTTTACCCAATTTAAAACAGAATTTAATATTCGCTCTTTGTTCCATGTTGGTTTTTCGACCGACGTACACAAAGTGACTTTATATAAAATGTCAAACTACAGTGAAATATCAACCGAATTCGGTCAAATTTTGAGGTTAAGTAGATGAAGGGTAGAACATTCACCTACCATCATTCACTCATAGATGTCGCTGCACTAAGAACTTTGATGGAACCAGTCTCATCGTATCTGGGACAGACTGTATATAACCTCAATCTCAACTTTAGATTAACATCAATTCTGGAAAAAGAAGAAGGAAAGAAGAAGAGAAAATTAACATCATGTTTTACAATAATAAATAGTAGGATCATGTTTACAATAATAAATAATATGTTAGGAATTATATTATAATGATAAGCCAAATAACAAATCACCATGTATTTTCTGTGAAGGACATATAACAATACACTGGGTTGTACAAAGCGTTAGACGAACTCAATGCCGAAGGTAGGACCAAAATTGCAGTGTTAGAATCTTCCATAGAGCGATTAGCGTCTGTCGCTGAAACCGAACCAAATGAGAAGAAGAAGACAGTTGTTTTCCATTGTTGAGAGCTATAAGGAGCAATTAAATGTGTTCTTGGCGGTTTTTCGCAAGGCTAATGTCGTTAGCACTTGTGTCATAGATAAATTAGTTTGGGAGAATCTGCTCTCTCTGCCAGAGGAGCGGCAAAATGTTCTTCGTAAACGACGAGACAAACAAAGTTTGACAGATTCTTCTAGCCAAATCACAGACAAATTATTCAGCACCATAAGGCATCTAGCTGAGACAACTCAGAGAAGTGCTGATACATTGGACATATTGTGTACGTACTATATTTTTGAATCATTTCATAAAAATATGGAATTTATTAGATATCTATCATGCAGAATGAAGCAGTAACTATTATCTTATCTTGAATATCTTGAATATATGAGATATGAGAATAGAAAAATATTTAACAGAAAATACATGGTACTGAAACAATTGTCTTATAGTAGTAAAGTTTTATTTTCTAAGTAAACTAAGCTTTAAAAATCTAAATCCTTTATCGTTTTTTCCTAAATTATTTTTTAAATAAAATGTTTTAATGTAATAAAATTTATTAAAATGTTTTTTTGTATCATAACTGATTTTGAATCGTTCTTTATTATAGGTTGTTGTATTTCTTCTAATAACTGTTATCGAAAAATAAATTCAGAAACAGCATTCCATTAAAAAAACAAAGATGACCTTCAAATCTTAGGAATCACCTGAAAAAAAGCGTTACCACCGCAAGGATTACTTCTGCACCATGTAATTTCTCTTTGTTAAATAAATTATTATTTATTATTATCGCCTCACTATATATTGTCTGTTTAAGAATAATTATTACGATTCTACAGATTTTGCTGTTTTGTTTCAGTAACATCCTCTGACAAAGTTGATAACGCGAGAAACGAGCTGGAGCATCAACAGCAAGTGATAGTGCAATCGGGAAAGCTCTTAGGAAAATATGGTAAATGCGAAGTCACCGATAAAGTATTACTTGCACTGGCCTTCGCGTTCTTCCTCGCCTGCATGTTTTACATTTCACAAAAGAGACTGTTCTGAAAACCCTTTGTATGTGATATTAATGAAATAGACTGATCATTTACGGTGATATCGCGACTGTAACATATTGCGCAGGAATTCTCACGATAAATGACATAGAAAATGTATGTACTATTTAAGAGGAGAAATCGGGTGACACGGGCTTTACAAGTATTTTAATGACTTTACGCGTGTGTGGATAAATTGTTCGTTAATCTCTGAAGGACGTTTTCATTCGATCACCAAATCTTATTAAATAAACTCAACTGGTTGTATACAGGGTGCACGATTTATCTGAAGACATTGAAATATCTCGAGAACTATGCATTGGATAAAAAAAAGTGGTTAATGAAAGTTGTTAATCTCGAAGGGGGACATCCAATGATACCAAACTCGACCTCCCACCCCACCCCCTGGGGGTGGGGGTTGGGGGTAACTTTGAAATCTTAAATGGAAACCCCCATTTTTTATTACAGATACGGATTCTACGCCACAAAATACATAAATTTTGTCCGGAACTTTTTTTTTGATTCGTGATAGGTGGCGCTGTAATCGCAAAAAATTATATTTTCCGCAATTCTCCAGAAATGATCATTGGATTGAGAAATAAAAAATACCTGTTCAATATTTTTAAAGAACATAATAAAAGTTATTCCCCCCCCATCCTCTCGGGGTAGGGTGGGTGGTAACGTTCAAATCTCAAATGGGAACCCGAATCGAAAAGCGAACTGCTCGATGCGCCACTGTGGGTGTATGGCGAACTACAGCTTATTATAAAAGGCAGTGCAAAATTTCGAACACTTACTCTAATTAATTGAACAGTGAGAGGCAAGGGGACTCACATTAAAAAAGCACTCCGATCTGTGAGAGGCAAGGGAACTCACATTAAAAAAGCACCCGAAGGGAACATAAAACTACTACCTCGTCCTCGTCGTTGTTCCTGTGTAACGCTAAAAGTAGTTTCTCGGAAAAATTCAACGCTATCTATCACGAATGAAAAAAATTGTTTCAATAAAAATTTCACGTACAATCTAATTCTGCAATGAAAAATATGGGTCCCCATTTGAGATTTGAACGTTATCACCCACGCTACCCCGACAGGATGGGGGGGGAATAACTTTTATTATGTTCTTTAAAAATATTGAACAGGTATTTTTTATTTCTCAATCCAATGATCATTTCTGGAGAATTGCGGAAAATATAATTTTTTGCGATTACAGCGCCATCTATCACGAATAAAAAAAAAAGTTCCGGACAAAATTTACGTATTTTGTGGCGTAGAATCCGTATCTGCAATAAAAAATGAGGGTTTCCATTTAAGATTTCAAAGTTGCCCCTAACCCCATCTCCAGGGGGTGGGGTGGGAGGTCGAGTTTGGTATCATTGGATGTCCCCCTTCGAGACTAACAACTTTTATTAACCACTTTTTTTATCCAATGCATAGTTTTCGAGATATTTCAATGTCTTCAGATAAATCGTGCACCCTGTATAATGGTAACCTGTAAGAAGATAAAATATTTATTAAATTTCAAAATGTATACACGTTTCTACTATTCATTATCACTAAAATAACGATGTCGTATCGCGAGACGCTATGGAAACTAATTGCTCATACATTTTTACAACCGCTTATGAATTCCTCCCTGGTGACTATTCCGTCTCTGTCTACGTCCATCTTCTTGAAGAACTTGTCCACTTGGATGTTAACTGCGGGCTGGATAGTCTGCGCGTCCTGCACCATCTCATAAATCGCGAATATTATGACCAACATTTCTCGCTTCGTGATACAACCGTCTCCATAAAAATCGTAGAATCTGGTGAAAAGTAGGTCCAGAGAGTATTTCGCATGTTATGATCTTCGAGATTATTGACTTCAATAAGTATTAGTAATCAAATATTTAATAAATATCCAATAATCAAGTAAAATTTCTATTGCGACTAATATTAACATTTTTAAATGTCACTTTTTAACTTTGAGTATTATTCCGAGGAAAAATGATTATATATGTAAATTTTCTCTACACAGCCATCATTAAACAGCAAGAAAAAAGTACAAAGTGGTCAGTCTGTGCCCGAAGAAGTTACAGAAAATCAAACCGAACTTCTTAACTGACACGAAATAAAAATCTTTCAGGTTGCACTCGAAAATGAACCTGGAATCAGACAGTCCGTTACTAACAGCGATTACTGCTCACCCAAATATCCAAGAGAGCTGATCGACCATGCCGTTGACGATCGATGCTGTGGCATCCAGAAGATCGCTGAAGCTGACGAAACCGTCGCCGTCCTTATCGAAACTGTAGAAGACGATTTGCGTGCATCTGGTTGGGTCGGCCAATGGGAACAGTTTTTGGCGTATGCGGGTTTCAAATCGCCAGGCGTCACACTGTTTGCGCAGCATCTCCGCCGACGGACCGAATCGTCGTCAGTCGCAAAAAGACGGGACTCTTAACTGAGAATATTTGAGCGAACGTTAATTCAGAACGCGATGTCGTGAACTTCTCGCGAAGAAATGAGAAAGAGATCTTTCCTTCTAAGTATTCTCTTGACGCGTGAAAAATTGGTGGCAAGTTTTGATACCTTTTTTGTAATCTTTTCTCGTAAGTTCTTGTAGTATATAACGATCACCGTGCGCGTGTTAGCTCGTTTCATGTAGTGAAAAGTAAAAATAAGAATTCTAAATAGTTTTGTATACTAATATTTCTTTCGTAGTCATAACATAAAAACTTATGCAATGTGACTTAACCCTTCCGTGTCTGCCTTTTGTCTAGAAATAATCTGCGTCTAATTCACGTTTTACGAAAGGTTTTTAGAATTGCTGATTATGAATTTGTAGTCAAAATTTCAAAATTCAGAATAATACCCATAGTTGTAAAATATTTATATAGAAATTATATAGAATACACAAGTCAATATGTCCCACCGCATATATTTCATTTCTCACCTTCCGTTTACATGTAAATAACGATAATTACGAATATCGTGATCTTATATATATATATATTTATATAATTAATAAATTACACAGTCTGTTTTGTCAAATATTTATTTCTATATATACCTTTCCCTTTTTAAATGCAGAATTGTAATTAAAATTTAACAATATATAAGTTAGGAGCCATTTAAAACCCAACGCACGTCGTTACCATATCGATCAGCTGATTGAGTGCAAGGCTTACTGCGGATTTGCTGCCAATTTGCTCTCGTGTCTTGTGCGCAAGTGTTGCTCGGTGTTTGGTGCCTATTTGGTGCTAAGTTATGCGCTACAAAACTTGCGCGGTTTTTGCTGCAAATTTACTGCAAGTTGCCCCGCATCAAGCCTTGACGTCAAAACACAATCCTAAAGAGGACACAGTTGCATATGGTTTTGGCATCAAGTTTTGATCGAATTTGCTGCCAATTTGCGCTCAATTTGCACTCATTTTGCTCATGTATATATATATATATATATATATATATATATATATAACTCCTATATGTATATTAAATATACAATTTATATAAACTTTACCGAAAATGTGTTTTAAATTCATCATTTGTAAAAGAATGAACCACGTCCATATAATTTTTGAAACGCGGAATTGAACGTTGAGGTGTCCCATGGTTTTTATTCAATAATATTAATATAGATTCATCTTCTTCGTCTGTGAAATCCGACTCGGATGAATCAAGCAGTTCAATCGCTTTTATTGAACATATTGATATTATTGACATTTTAGGTTATGTATCTAATGATCGAGATATGTCAAAATTCACCCTAGTACTGACAATACTGCAATTGTCGTTCCGTTATAGGGAAGGAAAAGCGATATAAGCTATTACGGAACATATCGCCAACACTGCTTTATGACGTCACGTTCACAGCACTGGCAGTGAATATCGGAATGCACCCCAGGAACATGGCAACCGCTATAGATGACGTATTTAGGTTAAATGTTTGATATACATATGTTTATTTGTATGTAATGTACCAATAAATCTTTGGTAGAAATAAAAGAAATTGTTACAAAATATCAACAAAATGATTCGAGATGGGCATAGTTGTGCCATGTATAAATGCCCGAATATTTCAGGACGAATACCTGGGTTAAGCTTTTTTCGTTTCCCGAAGGATGTAGAAAGGTAAAAATAATAATTTTTTATTAATTTTACATATTTGTTTTGGAATTGCCTAAAAGTCTAACTTATATATGTATATATTTCTATTTCTCAGATGTAGATTATGGTTAAGGAATTGCGGGCGTACAATTAAAGTTCCAATAGAGAACTTATATAAAACATACCGGATTTGTGGAAATCATTTTGATTCTACAATGTTTTTAAATGATTTAAAAAATCGCCTCCAACTATACGCAGTTCCAAAATCAATGAATCTACAAATAAAATCAGTCAAACGTGTACAGGTCTACAAATAGAAAAACCAACGAATCAACAAATAAATCAGTCTGTACATGACTTTTCATTAGATTCTGACAATCACATATCTTTTTCATGTAAAGGTAAGCCGAACTACAATAATATAGAATCTTTTTTTATTTTTGTCGACTATTCTTTTTAGTACTTTAAGTTAATATTAACAACTACATGTTATTAAATAATCCAATTGTTAATTGAAATTGTAGAGCAGGATGTAAACGTTATGGATGAAGATAAACGAAAGGATCAGGAAGTACAAACTGAACAACTATCTGTATCACAAGATGAGAAAATATAAACCGATTCCACATTATCTATTAATTCACCCCGAAAAAAGATATTGAAAAGGAAAATCCATTTATTACAAAAAAAATTACGGAAAGTTGAGAAACAATTAAAGCAACAGGAAGCAAGTTATACAAAAAAGGATTAAGAAGCTCTCTCTACCAATAGAATATTGTGATGCAACAGATCAAATATTGCTACCATCTATTGCGTCCTTTGTGAAAGCACAAGTACACCTGGCTCAAAGGTCGCCAAAGGGTAGGAAATTTTCTTTGGAATTTAAAAAAATGTGTTTTACTTTATACCTCAATGGACGTAAAACCTATGAAGTTTTATCAAAACAGTTCTGTTTGCCTAGCACAAGAACTTTACAACGTATGATCGAAAATTTTAAAATTTTTCCCAGGTTGCAAAATAATGTTTTTGATATTTTAAAAGCTAAAGTATCTAATTTTAAAACTAATCTTGATAAATATTGTACATTGTGTATAGATGAAGCTGCATTAAAAGCACATTTATTTTATAATATTAGTAAAGATACGGTATATGGTTTTGAAGATTGGGGTGAAGGAAAATCGGCATTGCCAGCATGTAACGTTGCAGTTTTAATGCTTAGAAGTATGTGCACGAATTGGAAACAACCTATAGGATATTTTTTTCTAAATTTCACATTTCATGCTACTAAATTAAAAGATATTATAACGCAAAGTATAAAAAATTTGCAAGAACTTGGATTTATAGCTATTGCTTTTGTAAGTGATATGGGACAAAATTTCATAAATGTAGTACAAGCATTAAATGTTACAACAGAGTCACCATTTTTTGTTGTTAATGATCAACAAATAGCTTATTTCATTGATCCACCACATGCTTTAAAAGCTAGTCGTAATAATTTTCTGAAAAATATTATTAAAAATAACGGAAAATTTATTTTATAGAAATACATTAAAGAACTATACGATACAGAACAAAATAACGAAAATAGATTAGCACCCAAACTAACAGATATACATATTATGCCTACTAATTTTCAAAGAATGAAAGTTCGCTATGCAACGCAAGTTTTGAGTGGAACAGTAGCTGCTGCTTTAAATAAACTAGTAATGTCTTGTAATATTTCATATGAAGCCCTTATTACAGTTAATTTTGTTCAAAACATGAATGATTTATTTGACATGTTCATCTCTCATTTATTTGACAACTCATCTACAGTTTTCCATAAGATAAAATATAGACAAGCTTTCAGTGGTCATGATTATCAAATAGAATTTTCGTCAAAAATGAAAAAATATCTAAGTGAATTAACAATATTTGCAAAACAAGGAGTTAATATTTCGAAAAAAGTTAAAGTATTTAAATATTGATGTCAAAACATAAATTCCCTCTTAAAGATGTGGGATTACTTATGTGTTACTGCCACAGATATAAAATTTTTGTTAATGCGTCTTTTAATCAAGACTCATTGGAGAATTTCTCTGGTAAAATCAGAATTATGAATGGTAACGCTTTTAATCCTACACCTATCCAATTTTATTACTCTTTTCAAAAACTGTTTTCTGTAAATTACTGTGTGCCAAGAACGGGGAATTGTCAACAAGATAATGATGAAATGTTAACGGTTATGGTAAATTTTGTAACGCAATATACGAATATTGTTGAAAATGAAGTAGACGAAAATGAATGTGTATCTGTACGTCTAGATAATCATGATTATCGTCAAATGGATATTAACGAACAAAATGCGTTGCGATACATTTGTGGCTACCTTATTTGTAAATGTTTAAAAATACATTCATGCGATTTGTGTTTAAATTACAGCAAAGAATATGTAGATTTAAATGATACCTCATACTATTGTTTCTTTAGAGCGTATAATGCTACTAATGATAACCTTTTTGGTAATTTATGTATGCCAAATAATAATTTTATTGAATATATTACAACTTTGGAGGACATATTTTTTGAAGAAAATTGAAGAATATATTTTGCAACCACTTATCGTAAATAAATTGATTCGACTTTTTAGGCAAGTCGAATTTATTCCTCCTTGTCCGTCTTTTCCAAAAAATTATTTAATAAAACTTTATGCTAGAGTTCGACTATATTATACTATAAAATTTATTAACAGGCGATTTAAGTCACAATACGGTCGTAAAAAAATGGTTATTTTGCATCATGACTGAAAGATACTTTGTGTTCATTACTATAGGTCTAAGATACTTTGTGTTTATTATTATAGATATAAGATATTTTGTGTTCATTAATATATAATATTATTAAAATGTTATTAATATATTATATTATATTGTTATTCTTATTTTATGAAACTATAATAAAAGTAAATTTATAATTATGTTGCAATAATTGTTGCCTAATATTTTATTGTTGTTTCAATTGCTGATTTTGAGAAAATATTTTCATAAACAGAGGAAAAGTGGTAATCTATACAGAATGTTTGTCAAAGGTCGTTATTTTCACAGTGTTATTATTCATTAAAAATTTATTTTAAAATTACTGGACGAAAATATTAAGTCGTTAGTAGTTTACGAGACATATGCGATCAAAAAAGCAAAGCTTTTCGCAAACAATGCTTTGGTCAACCAAACGGATAACAAAACAATTTCTTGAATTAATTTTAATCGAATTCTACTATAACAAAATTGTTATTTAGAGCTTAATTATAAAAATGTTATGTTGAAATTTGGGAAATCATCATAAATTATGACGTCTATCGATAAAATAGCTCAGAATTTGTCGATTCAATTTTCTATTAAGAATAACATTGTAAATAATGTGTAAATAGTGGGCGTTAATTAACAACATCCTGTATATATCTAGTTATTTTTCACTTTTTTGATTATGAATGGACTAATTTTATGATCCAGATATATACAAATGCTATCAAAAAGTTGACGAAACATCAAACAGATCGATATATTTATACAATTATATATTAATACAATAAAATGTTTTCCTAATGAAGTGTATGTATATTTGATATTCCATATAAAATGTGTTCTAATATTCACGATATTCACCAGTATTAAAATATTAATATTAAAAATCTATAGTTTATGTTGCGTATTCTATAGATTCTCAATATTAGCTGTAAATATCGGAATACAGCCTATAATACGACTGAACAGTAAACTGTTTATTAGAAAATAAATCATTTTATATGTTAACGTAACTCTAATTTAAGCGCTTGTCCTACCTTCAACATGGCGTCGAGTCATGTGACCAGGGACCCACTACATCAAAGATGCCGACGCTCAGTGTCAATATTGTATATACTTAAGCCAGCGGCATACGGTGCTTGTTTTCATGCTGGATTGCTTGCTGGATTGGTGCATTTCCATCCATCTTCGGAAATGTACCAATCACAACACAATATTTTCATCCAGCAAGCAATCCAGTACGAAAACAAGCACCATGTGCCGCTGGCTTTATACTGTGTATATAGTGTAAGTCATTCAAATGGGAATGCGTCTTTTGCAAGGTATTGAACAGGAACAGGTATGTATATTAAATTTTAAGTGAAATCGTATTTATTTAGTCACTAATCACTCACTGAACGGTTTTCTTCGCTGAACGCAATGATTGTTGACATACTTATGTCATACCACGTATATTTCATTTCTCGCCTTTCGTTGTGAGTTAAGCCAGCGGCACAAGATGCTTGTTTTCGTGCTGGATTGCTTGCTAGATGAAAATACTGCATTCTGATTGGTGCATTTCCATCCATCTTCGGAAATGTACCAATCAGAACGCAGTATTTTCATGCAGCAAGCAATCAAGCACGAAAACAAGCACCGTGTGCCGCTGGCTTTACTGCGTAGGCGTACTCCACAGGCGGAGTAGCAGCTCTCATCTTTCTCGAGTCGGGATGCGTCCCGGAAGTCATTAAAAAAAAAGTGACAACTTTTATATCCGCGACCGTATACGGTAGTTTGCTTGCGTGCGCGCCGCTGCACGCACTATAGCTGTGCTGTTTGGATCCTGAAACTGACATCACTGGGATGATTCCTCTTGATGATATATATAATTTTTACTATATTCTGTGTGGTAGCTCAGATATGAACCAAACTATCGCAGACACACCTCGTTACCGAGCGACATCGACGTAGTTGACGTCTATTTTCTCAGGGGACGCGTCGAATTCATAAAAATTTCTGAACCTTCGCTGATGGCCGCTCTCAGGTTTCTCTCTGGTATGTATGTCGTTAGTAAATACTATTTCCGAGCGAACAAAATGCTGAATAGCTACCGCAATATTCCCTAGCCAACTTCCGCCGCGCAGCAAGCATTGTCGCGTATATGTGCAACCAACCTTATTGTCTTCACTATTTCGGAACGTAGCTTAATAGTTCAGCTAAAAAAACAACCGTTTTCTTCGGTACTAACCTAGTTTATTTTCTGACCTAACGAATCTTATTCATTTTTTATTAGAAAACGATAAATATGTCATTAAATGTTTGATGTTTTAGTTAAGAGACGACTTGACAGTTTTACGATATGTCGATCAAACTTCTAAGAACTGTCAACCTCCTAATTTCCAAAGGTCAACATGTGCGGTATGGACATGTGTTACGAGGAAAGCCGCCAACAGTCGCCCACAGTCTAAAACAGCGTCTTGAAATAATTAAACAGATGAACGAGGATCCGATGTTAGATTTCCATGTGAACATTGGTTATCCAGTGGCTAAGATTTCCAGACGAACATTAACAAAAATCTGGGCGAACGAGATCATTATGCAAAGAAACAATCCTGAGTTGGAAAGAGCTTCACGTACCAGAAAGTTGCTGGTGAATTTAAAAGATGCGAGAGAATATTGGTTGCAGACCGACGGACCGTTCCATATTCGCAAGATAGCGGAACATTATAATATTTACAAAGATCTTTATAGAGATGCATATTTTATACCAACGGTTCCATTGAACATAAGCTATGATCTGGAAGACAATAAAATGGTAAAGGTTTATACTGGTAATGTAATCAAACCAAAAGAAACTTCCAAAGCACCTTGTGTCATATATAATACAGAGGATGGATCATTGTGGACTTTATTAATGACCACGCCAGATGGTAATTTGACCAATTCAAGCTATGAGTACTGTCATTGGTTTATTGGTAACATTCCTGGGAATCACATAAACAAAGGAGAAGAGTTGATAGATTATTTAAAGCCAATACCGTCATATGGTATTGGGTACTGCAGATATATCTTTGTACTGTACAAACAGGAGTGTTACATAAATTATTCAGAATACAAAAAAGTAAAGCCTTGTTTGAATCTGGAAGAACGTAACTGGCAGACACGAGATTTTTATGCTAAATATCAGGATCAATTAACACCGGTTGGTTTGGCATTTTTTCAATCAGATTGGGATGATACAATAAAAGAATTCTATTACAGCACATTGAAAATGAAAATGCCGATATTTCGGTACAATTTCCCACAACCATATATTAAGAAACAAACATGGTTTCCCTTAAAAGAACCTTTCAATCTTTACATGGACAAATATCGCGATCCTAAACAGATAACAAAGGAATTCTTGCTGAGGAAATTAAAAAAAGTTCATCCATTTAAAGAATCAGAACCTAAACCACAGTTCCCATTAGCTTATCATACTCATCCTGACTTACCATCCTGGTTGAAGTTTGAGATGATAAAGAAAAAGCTGGGATATGGTCGTGTGAATGATCTTGATGAATATTAGATTTAGAAATTGGAGTAATACAATTATAATATAATAAATGATCATTATGAATTTGTGTGTTTCATTGTCTCTAATTAGTCATTTTATTGAATCTACTTAGAGCAATCTTGCAAGTTACTCCTGTTTCAAGCGTGTCTCTATAATCTGTTTGCTGCAAAATTTTATATCAGCTCGTGTTGGAACAGTAGTATCAACCATTTTATGTTCAACTAATAATCCTAAGAAAAAGGAAGAAAATTATAAATTATACAAAGATAATGCTAAAGATAATTTATTGATGAAATATATTAAATGTTATTAATAAAAATATTAATGAATGAATGAGATTAATAATAAAATTAATTATTAATGAAAATATGTTAAACAATTTAAAGGAATAAAAGCGATAAGAAAAATGCTCTTCACCTATTTGTTCCTCTTCACTATTTTTGAATATCAAATCAGAATTATAATTTGACACATAAATTTGATAGAGGTTCCGTGCTTTGTTCTCTTTCTCTTGCTCGAGGTCGAAATTAGTCATGTTAAAAAGGATACTTATCTTTCGGGTGATTTTTGCTAAAAGCACTAAAACTGTAAAATTACAAATAATGATGTAATAGTTTAATTCGTCCTATTGATATTTCAATAAAAAATTATGTATACTAATTATCTAATTAATAATTATAGTTGCCATCAATGTCCACTTTTTTGAGTTCAGCTAACGATTCAAGTTCATCCGCGTCTTCCTTATCGTCAAACTCCTTCAATATATCCTTGCCCACATCTTTCCCAGTCTTTTTCGTACCTTTACCAGGTTGTCTAATACAGAATAACATCATATTCATACTTTGCAAAGCAGTTCTAATGTTCATGAATAATTCACCGCGAATTTTCTTTAATTCTTTTAAATTTCTTTCACGCTTTTCCTCGATCTCGATTTGTTCCATTATTTCACATCCATCTGCTTTATATCTAAAAGTTCGAAATTATTATAGTAGAGTTTTCAATGGAGTAATGTAATAAATATGTATTGAATAATTAGAAACCAGAAAATTGCAAAAGCTTACTAATAAATCATAAGTTTACTAATAAATCATTACCCAGCAAATACAATATTTGTTACATTATAATAATGTTACAATATAAATATAAGATGTAGTATAACATTTACGTTACATTTATGTTACATGTAATATATGTGTTAGTTGTAATTTCCCACTCAAACAATATTACAGTTATATAATAGAAATATAACGTATAAGTAATAATAGAAAATAACATAAGTAATAACATAAAGTAACGTAAGTAAAATAACGTAAAGTAGTATAAACGCTATCTAAAGGATGTAATATCTGTGTATAAAAATATTACATAAGATAAACGTAACATGAACACTATCACAATATACACCTCATACAGCGCCGCAAGATTGCAGCGACATTGCAGAAATATTATATTGTGACATTACAATATTGCAGCAATGTTGTGTAATGTCGCTGCATCGTTACAAAAAAATTGCAGCAACGTTGAAATGTCCGTCCTCAGAGAGATTGTAGAGCAACATTATAGCAATGTTGCTGTGCAATATATTTGCAATAATGCAGCGTCATTGCACATAAGCACTGAGCAAACACTAAGTAACAATAACATGACAATAATGTTATAAATTTTCACTCAACAATGTAATAGTTGTATAATACACGCGTTATATTATTTTTACCCTTAGGAAAAATTATTTTAAGATGTTCAAATTAATTTAAAGTTACTTATAGTTATCTAAAATTATTTATAGTTAACTATAAATTATTTACAGTTAACTATAAGTAACTTTAAGTTAATTTGAAAATTTTAAGTTATTTTTCCTAAGGGTACATTGTTAAATGGACAATTATAACATAGATGATAGATATTTCCTTCTCCATGGGGACATGGTCTAAAATGCTTCGAAGCGCCATATAGACAATCATAATTGTTCTTTTTGCACTCCAAAGCGTTTGTAGTTTCATGAATCCTATTTAATATGTGCGCACACAATCGCAACTGATGATGAAATTCGAGTTGTCGCGCATACGTATCGGTAGCTCCAACGAGAAAAATTTTATTTTCAGTATTCTTGTCTTATTTATAATAATAATTAGACAACAAAGCATTAAAATATTTTTACAATGTTTCTAACCAGAGTACGTCCTGAGAACGAGTTGAGGATGTTTCTTCCTTTTTAGGACGTCTCTGCGACGCCTTCAGATCTTGTACTATCTGGGATGGAAGATTGCATTTCCATTTCCGAGTTTCTGCGATATTGCAGTGCAAGATTGCAATTTCATTTCCGAGCAATGTCTTTACAACATTGCTTGGAAATTTGCAATTTTGCAAGATTACTGCAATGTAACTGCAATCTTCTGTGCTGTATGGGACACGCTGTGTTCCAATATTCACTGCCAGCGTTGAAAATCTATAACATACGTGATACAAACTATGTATTTTCAGTACTGGCAGTGAATTTTGGAACATAGCCACATAGTGATCTCCAAATATCGCGTAGCTAAAAATGAACTGCACATGCGCAGCCATGTCATCTAACTAATAGCATTACAGACATCTTTTTCTATCTCACTTTCTCGTAGAAAAAATATACTATATGTCTCACTCTAACTTATTACATTTATTACACTTAGTTCAGCAGTGCAGCTAAAAATTGCAGATCATCTTTCTGTCTATTGGTTAAGTAACAAGGCTGCGCATGTGCAGTTCATTTTTAACTATGCTAGCATCAAAAATGCCGACAGAGAATGTCGCTACTGGATATATTGTAATATAACTTTGGATACCGTAAATTACTTGATTCTTCTACTGAATATTTTTACAGATTCCGCGATTGCATGTGATCTTTCACTAGGCCAGGATAAATGTAAAAGCATTATTAGAAGTGATAGCAAAACGCGAGACTGACGAAATTATTAATAATTTACATCTACCAAACATCCAAATTTTCAATTTTAATCGATATAACGACTGATATAACGGATTCCAAAAGTATGTGTGTTCTCGTTCGATATGTTGCACCGAAAAATAAAAAAGTTATAGAATAATACAGTTATTAGATTTAGTATCTGTAAATGCTACAAATTCTTCGGCCGAAAAATTATACGAAATATTTAAAAATCTTCTTAAAGAAAAAAAACTTCCTTTAGAAAATATTGTTGTAATGGCAAGCGATAATGCATTCGTGATGACAGGATGTAATAATTCCTTCATATCACGTTTAAAATTAGAAATACCGGGCTTAGTAACCTTAAATTATATTTGTCATTTATTCACGATAATAAAGCTAGTGAAACTTGCGAAAAATTACTTCAACCGTGCGAAAATTTAATCCGAGGCGTTGCTTTATACAGGATTTGTCAAAAGTGTGGGAACCCTTAAATAATTTTTGTAAAAATGAAAATATCAAAAAACGATAAAATACGTATTTTGATTTTTCAAAAAAGCTACTCTACGACATGGATATCGATCATTCCCTACCCCCTGGTACGTGGGGGTAAAAGGGGGTAGAAAATTTTAAATTGGGCTAAGAGTCGAGTGAGGGCTCATTTGAAAGGTCTTTTCATAACAAATACATCCTTAAAATTTTAAGTCGCTACGATCCCCCCATTAAAAATGGCAGCCGTTCAAATTTCGAAATTTCATGTACTTAGTGTTATCCAGGATTAACCGGCTACTTAAAATCAGTTATTCTCACGGCTACTTAAAATTAGTTGTTCTCACTGCTACTTGAAATCAGTTGTTCTCACGGCTACTTAAAATCAGCCCAGCAAACAGAATATAACTGTTATACAGGGTGTTTGATAGCTGATCATGCAGACGAAAGTTGGAGATAGATTGGGTGTAGCCGAGAAGAAAAGTCATGTACCATAATGTCAAATTGGTAATAGTTATCGAGTTATTAATTAAAACATGTGAGCCAACGAGCGCGTAGAGAGTGGAGGGCGGCCGCAGTAAGCACGTAGTCAATGAGTAGCGGGAGGCAAGTGCGTGCGGCGAGAGGCAACGTAAGCGACAAGAGGCGATCGCGCGCGACGATGCTGTATCAAATGTCTATGTGCTTATTGCGGTCGCCCTCCGCTCTCTACGCGCTCGTTGGCTCACATGTTTTAATTAATAACTCGATAACTATTACCAATTTGACATTATGGTACATGACTTTTCTTCTCGGCTACACCCAATCTATCTCCAACTTTCATCTGCATGATCAGCTATCAAACACCCTGTATAACATAGAAGTAACATGTAATATAACATATGTTATACTCTAGTTATATTGATGTTATATAATTTGGTTTCATAGTTGTAATATAATTCTGTTATATATCTGTTACACTGTTTTGTTATAAACTAGAGATAACATTATTAATAATAATATAACAGTAATGTAACACGTTATATAACAATAATTACGTTCATATTACTTTGATGTTATACAGCACAACTATTCATGCAATCTATTAAAAACTGCAAATGCTTTCTATTGCGAATAAAGGTGCATTTCGATAGAGAAAGAAATAGCAAAGCGGAACAGTAACAAATAAAAAAATGGTGAAAAGCTAATCAATCAGAAATTCCGTTCCGCTTTTTTGTAGATGTTTTATTTTGTAGTTCTATGTTTTTCTATGTTATTTTGTAGTTCTATATATTTTGAATGCCTTCATCGTGCTTAAGCAGACCATATTACCTATTTATATTGATGTTTATAATGCATATTTATATGCATACTGATATGTATATCCCTACAAAAAAGTACATCGAATCCACGTGGAACGCATTCACATGAAATCCACAAAACCACATGGATTTCATGTGGACACAATATTCCTATTTTCGTGGAGATCCGCACTTATACTATTTAAACATTTAAGAACGCTTGTATATTATACAAAATTCACATACAAAAAATTTCTTTCCCAGTAAACATAGTTACGTAACAGTTACATTGTCGTAATATAACGAAATGTAACACGTAATATAACGTGTACGTTATAGCAATATACATGTTAGTTGTAATTTCCCACTCATAGAAAGTTGCAGTTACATAACAGAAATATCACATGTTACTAAAATGTTATACAGGGTGGGTGATTATAAGTTGCCAACCCGAAATGTGAAGGTAGATTGGGTTAAGACAAACATAAAATTCCCATACCGTTTTGCGAAATTCGCAATAATTATCGAGTTATTAATGACAGAAATCTGAGGAGTGGTAGCGCGCCGGCATAGATGATTGGAGAAGCGTTGCAGCTGCTTAGGCCGCAGCGCGGCCCAGTTGATCCAGAAACTGTTGCCGGTGCGCGGCGAGGCGAAAGACAATGCGCTGCTATTCGTTGTTTTATCTCGCCAGACCTACGTCTCGCCGCACGCCGCCATATATATAACCAGCCATATAACATTTTAGTAACATGTGATATTTCTGTTATGTAACTGCAACTTTTTATGAGTGGGAAATTACAACTAACATGTATATTGCTATAACGTACATGTTATATTACGTGTTACATTTCGTTATATTACGACAATGTAACTGTTACGTATCTGTGTTTACTAGGAAAGAAATTTTTTGTATGTGAGTTTTGTATAATATACAAGCGTTCTTAAATATTTAAATAATATAAGTGCGGATATCTCCACGAAAATAGGAATATTGTGTCCACATGAAATCCATGTGGTTTTGTGGATTTCATGTGAATGCGTTCCACGTGGATTCGATGTACTTTTTTGTGGGGATATACATATCAGTATGCATATAAATATGCATTATAAACGTCAATATAAATAGGCAATATTGTCTGCTTAAGCGCGATGAAGGCATTAAAAATATATAGAACTGCAAAATAACATAGAAAAACATAGAACTACAAAATAAAACATCTACAAAAAAGCGGAACGGAATTTCTGATTGATTAGCTTTTCATCATTTTTTTATTTGTTACTGTTCCGCTTTGCTATTTCTTTCTCTATCGGAATGCACCCTTATTCGCAATAGAAAGCATTTGCAGCTTTTAATGGATTGCATGAATAGTTGTTTTGTATAACATCAATGTAATATGAACGTAATTACTGTTATATAACGTGTTACATTACTGTTATATTATTATTATAATATTATCTCTAGCTTATAACAAAACAGTATAACAAACATATAACACAATTATATTACAACTATGAAACCAAATTAACTTCAATATGACTAGAGTATAACATATGTTATTGTAATGTTATTGTAATATATTACATGTTACTCCTATGTTACATAACAGTTATATTCTGTGTTTGCTGGGTTAAGTTTAATATTCTTACTTGTTCGATTTTGAGTTGTTTCATTAAAATATATTTTTACAATATAATTTTAGAAAAGAAAACTCTATTTCATTGAAGAAAACCATGTTCATAAAAAATAGGATTTGAGATAATATTTTTCAAAAGTTTTTTTAGATTTAGTAATTAAAATTTCTTATTTAAACTTCCTTGAATTTGTTTCAAACTATTTCTTTTGTGGGTTAACCATTATAATACTCCATTATTAGTAATTTTGAAACACAGCCTATACAGATATTTGTCGTATATCGAATGTTGTTGCGTTGTTTTAATTTTTTACATGAAAGGTTATAATGTTCTGTGAATATTGTAAGGACATATTATATAAGCACAAGTCACAAGAACATCGTTGGAGTCATTGGGATAACTGCGTGCCACTCGATCGTCAAGTTAAGCAAAGTCTAGTGTGGTCAACACATGGAAGGGTATTCCGCTTGGAATCGAAGCTATCGACGGATGCAAGACGCGAGAAAATGAAGAGTAAACTTTTTTACATAACAATAATATTACAGTTATATAACATTTTAGTAACATGTGATATTTCTGTTATGTAACTGCAACTTTCTATGAGTGGGAAATTACAATTAACATGTATATTGCTTGTAACGTACACGTTATATTACGTGTTACATTTCGTTACATTACGACAATGTAACTGTTACATAACTATATTTACTGGGAGTTGTTCTCACGGCTACTTAAAATCAGTTCTCACAGATCTTAGGCAGATTAAAAATTAAACGTTTTAAAAATGGCTGGCGAATTGTCGGAACATGAAAGAATCATTATCCTCATGATGCATGGATGGGGTGATAACGAGCGGTCGTACGCTGCTGTCGCTCAATTATTTAATGAGACGTATCCGAATCGTCGAATTAATAAGTCCACTGTCTTAAAAACAATGGAACGTTTCAGAGAAACTAGTAGCGTAAACAATCGCCCTAAATCAAAGAGATCTGCCATTAACGAAGAAAAACAACTTGTTCTGCAGACATTTATTGAATGTCCCAATTCTACTATTGACAGAGCCGCTCAAACTTACGATATTGCTCCCAAGACCGTTTGGAGAATTTTAAAGAAAAACAAGTTCCATCCATACAAATTACAATATGTTCAAGAATTGCAAGACGGAGATGTGGAGCGTCGTACAGGTTTCTGTGAAAGAATGATGGCACTAATAGATGTCCGGCCCATGTTCCCTTATCAAATTGTTTTTACAGATGAGGCAACTTTCACGTTAACGGGAGAAGTTAATAATCAAAATTTTCGTTTCTGGTCAGATGAGAATCCGAATTGGGTGCGGGAAACTCACACACAATACCCACAAAAAATAAATGTATGGTGTGGAATAATAGATAAATACCCACAAAAATAAATGTATGGTGTGGAATAATAGATGGCTATTTAATAGGACCGTTTTTTTTTTAAGAAAATCTGAACGCTCAAAGGTATGACAAATTACTTGTAGATCAAATAATTCCAGCCATACGAAATATATTTCCAAATAATTTCGAAGAAATATGGTTTCAGCATGATGGAGCTTCTGCTCATTTTGGTTTAGGGCCACATCAAATTTTAAATGAGACTTTTCCATTACGATGGATAGGAAGAAGGAACAGAAATGAGGGAGGAGAGAATTGGCCACCTCGGTCACCAGATCTAACTCCTCTTGATTATTATCTATAGGGACACCTGAAGAGTAAGGTTTACAAAACAAAACCTGAAAGCATCTAAGAATTGATATAGCGAATAAGGGATGAAATAGAGTTGATATCTTTTGAGACGAATCGTATGGAAGAGCATGGTCCATCGATACATGGAAGAGCCATTTCTGCATTCTATTACAGATTGGCATATTGTCAGGAAGTAAATGGCAGCCACTTTCAGCATTTACTTTAATACACTAAGTAAAATTTATTTTAAAACACGGAGTAAAAGGTTTTGAATCATTAAAGAGAGATGACAGTTTTCAATCATCTTTTTTTGCAACCTATCACGACTATACATACAACACATTCACATTTGTTTAGCCACACGCATGCACACACATACACACGCACGCACGCACGCACACACGCGCACGCACGCACACACGCGCACACACACACACACATACACACACAAGGGATCAGATTCATACGACTTCCACGCAGTTGATCCTGGATAACACTAACAAGGAGACCCTCAGACCTGTTAATAAAGGATTTTGATGGCTCTCAAATATATTGTAGAGGAACCTCCCCTGTGCATGAGGGTCAAAGGGTTTTCCTCAATCAGCCTTAGTTTCAGAGAAAAGAATTTTGAAGTTCCACGCGCCGTAGAATACTCGGTACGTAGCAGCAACTTTCGAGTCAGCGGACGTGGCGCAGCGACTGTGGTTGCAGCTAGTACGCTGTAGGACCCAAGCTCGGTTCTCACCATTCTTTTTTTTTATCAATTAGCAAGAAATGTTCACAGCAGATATCGTGATATTCGTAATAAGTAAGAACTGTGTTATGATTATGTAGTATTTAATATGTAGGTCAATTCAAGGATAGAAAACTGAAATGCGAAGAATGGTGGAGACAAATGGTATTTTATTATTGTGTGCAAATATAGTTATAGTAATATTAAATAATTCTTACATCACAGATTCCTCTGTATGAAATGAATAATTTTCAGAGTGATACTTATCATAGAAACAGGAAAAACATAAATTCACAGAGCACCATGCACATCGTATAAAAGCACTTTCCTTACAGGCACATGGTTGTTTTAAAAGCGAGATGGAAGAAGAAGAAATTTCATCTGGAGGTGTATCCGTTAATAAATTGTTATTTTGCATCAAGGTCTCACAATATTTAAACGCGTTTGTCACTTCTCCCTTGAATTTGTCGTCTAATTCCATTTTATCAAAATTATCCAGTACACAATACCGCTTCGATCGTTCTCTCTTGGGAACCTGAACCCTGAACGAATAAAAGTGAACGAGGCTGCTGCTTCTTACTAACGGAGGAGCCGACGTCTCCACTCTTTTTTAAATCAGGTAACACGGTCTTTTGACAAAGGATTCTTTGTCAAAAGGCTTCGGGTCGAATGCGAACGAGAAACCAACGGCCAAATTCAAACACGTTGAATCCTCTGCTATACTGTCTCCATCAAAATATTGAAGTGTAGAGCAAAGCAATGCTTAACACATTGGATACAAAACAAATAATATTTAAAATCGACTGCGATACTATAAAATGGGATTTATAAGTGAGTTTATGAATAATATCACTGTTCTTATTTATTACGAATATGTTCTTATTTATCACAATGTATGCAGAAAGAAATATATTTTCGAATGTTAATGATTTATATTTTCCGGTCTCGCTTTTAAAACAACTATGTGCCTGTAAGGAAAATGCTTTTATACGATGTGCATGGTGCTCTGTGAATTTATGTTTTTCCTGTTTCTATGATAAGTATCACTCTGAAAATTATTCATTTCATACAGAGGAATCTGTGATGTAAGAATTATTTAATATTACTATAACTATATTTGCACACAATAATAAAATACCATTTGTCTCCACCATTCTTCGCATTTCAGTTTTCTATCCTAGAATTGACATACATATTAAATACTACATAATCATAACACAGTTCTTACTTATTACGAATATCACGATATCTGTTGTGAACATTTCTTGCTAATTGATAAAAAAAAAAGAACGGTGAGAACCGAGCTTGGGTCCTACAGCGTACTAGCTGCAACCGCAGTCGCTGCGCCACGTCCGCTGATTCGAAAGTTGCTGCTACGTACCGAGTATTCTACGGCGCGTGGAACTTCAAAATTTTTTTCTCTGAAACTAAGACTCATTGAGGAAAACCCTTTGACCCTCATGCACAGGGGAGGTCCCTCTACAATATATTTGAGAGCCATCAAAATCCTTTATTAACAGGTCTGAAGGTCTCCTTGTAAGTGCATGAAATTTCGAAATTTGAACGGCCGCCATTTTTAATGGGGGGGTCGTAACGGCTTAAAGTTTTAAGGGTGTGTTTGTTATGAAAAGACCTTTCAAATGAGCCCCCATTCGATCCTTAGTCCAATTTAAAATTTAACCCCCCTTTTACTCCCGTGTACCAAGGGAATGGGAATGGATCCATGTCATAGAGTAGCTTTTTTAACAAACCAAAATACGTGTTTTACCGTTTTTTGATATTTTCATTTTTACAAAAATTATTTAAGGGTTTCTACACTTCTGACAAACCTTGTATATCTCGGGTAGTGCAAAGAGATAAGCAATTTTAAAAGAATTTCAGGATTTTTTTAATGAGGAAAAGATATTTTAAAATTATTTAATACACGATAGTTAGTTTTACACAAATGCGTTGTTCGACTATTAGAAAACTTTAATTTTAAAACATTATTGCATTGTAGCTGTTACAGAAGAAAAATTAAAATTCGTGGAAATAATTTTAGATCGATTAAATGACGACTGAATAAAAGCAATGTGTTATTTTTGAAATATTATATATTGTATTTTAAATTTCTTTAATAATTTCAACACCCTTTTCCAATCCCGTGATATTTTAATTCATAAAATGTTTGAAAATAGTCAATAATTAATTGTAGATGTCGCTCGCAATTTTTTTTTACCAGAGACGTTGGAAAACATTGATAATATTAATATAAACAATAAAAATATTCGAAAAAATTTGAATAATATACGGCGTATTTCAGACACCCGGGTCATCCGATTTTTTTCGTAAACGCGACATTTTTAAGAAAAATGTTTCAGACAAATGTTATAAGGTTTCAAAAGATCTATTTACTGACGCTATGAATTTGACCTTGAGATGACCTTGAAAAGTCCAGTCAAGATCAACATAAAAATCTTAAATAGAAACCCTAACTTTTTATTACACCGTCTTACTGATTTTTGGAAATTTCAAAATCATTAAATTAACAAAAATAAGGGCGCTGTTGAGACAATATATTCTTGAGACTATATAAAGCAAAAAAGTCTAGTATCACTTTCTGTTCTGACAAATATTGGGTCTATGCATAATTCCGTAGCGAAATTCCGACAGATGTTGTTCGCAGTTGTTTTTCCGCTCTCACATGTGTCAAACATATGAAGTGTCGTACATTAAGTGAAAGCTGAAATTTGCCGATATTTTAAGAAACTATTCATCGAGATCCGTGACGTATACGAAATTTAATTATATTTTGAACATGAAAAAGAAACGTGTATTTTCGGTGCATTTCGCTTTCTTATTTCCGAAAAGACAAAAACGCATCGCAAACTTACAAAAAGATATGCGCCGTATACGAAGAGAATGCCATAAACAAAAGTGTATGTCGGAAGTAATTTGCGAAATTTCGTTGTGGAGATTTTGATTTCCAAGATGCTTCTCGCTCTGGTTGGCTAGTCACTATTGATGTCGATCAAATCAAGGCTTTAATCGACTCCGACTAGCATTTGACGACTACAGAGATCGGATATAACTTCAACATTGACCAATCAATTGTTTCGAGACATTTACGGAAGCTTGGGATGATAAACAAGCTTGATGTTGGGTGCCGCACGAACTGAGCGAAAAGAATTTAATAGACCGAATTTCAGCTTGCGATTTGCTGTTCAAACGCCATCAAAACGAACCATTTTTAAAGCGAATGATCACTGGCGATGAAAAGTGGATTGTCTACAACAATGTCAGTTGAAAAAGATCATGGTCGAAGCGCGAGGAGGCTGCCCAGACGGTCGCAAAGGCTGGATTACACCCGAAGAAGGTCATGCTCTATCTAGTGAGTATCTGGTGAGATTGGAAAGGAATCATCTATTATGAGCTGCTGCCACCCAACAAAACGATTGATTCAACCAAGTACTGCTCACAACTGGGTAAATTAAAGCGAGCAATCAATCAGAAGCGGCCCGAATTGGCAAACAGAAAGGCCGTTATGTTCCACCAGGACAACGCTAGACCACACGTTTTTCTAATGACCCGGCAAAAGTTATTGCGGCTTGGGTAGAATGTTTTGGTGCACCGACCGTATAATTTGGACTTTGCACTTTCAAACTATCACTTGTTCCGGGCGTTACAGAACAATTTGAATAATAAAACCTTCAGTTCCCTAGACGTCCTCAAAAACCACTTGGATGACTTCTTTGCCCAAAAATCTCAGGACTTCTATGAAAGAGGGATAATGAAGTTCGTGGAGAAATGGCAGAAAGTCATTGAACAGAATAGAACATATATATTGATTAAAATCGCTTTTTTGCTAAATATTTTGCGTTTGAAATTTATTCGATTTTCGCTACAGAATTATGCATAGACCCAATAGTTAGCGAGATATCGTAAGTTAAATATTAAAAAAGTTATCAATTAATTTGAACAACTTTTGTCAAAACATTTTTTATTTGCTTAATATTTTTTTTAAGAATTTATTTAAAGAAAACTTGATAACTTTTTCAATATTTAACTTACGATATCTCGCTAACTATTTATTAGAACAAAAAGTGGTACTAGACTGTTTTGCTCTATTTAGTGTCAAGAATATATTGTTCCAAAAGCGCCCTAATTTTTGTTAATTTGATGATTTTAAAATTTCCAAAAGTCAGTAAGTTAACAAAAGTCAGGGCGCTATTGTAAAAATATATTCTTTAGGCTAAATAAAGCAAAAAGTCTAATACCACTTTTTTTTCCGGCAAATAGTTAGCGAAATATCGTAAGTTAAATATTGAAAAAGTTATCAAGTTTTTCTTAAATATTGTTGCGCTCACTCTCGCGCTCACACTTGCACTCGAGTAAATAAGAACACTCGCGTAAGAGCTTTACTATCATATTTACAGCGTAGCTCACTCAAGCCTTAAACAGGAATAATTCTCAATTTGATAATTCTCGCGTCTGTCTACGATGATAGCTTGCTGGAAATTCTCACAAGGAGATGCCACGAACTGCTAACTCTACTTTTGAATGAGCTATAGTGCATTCGAAAGGGGAGGTCGAGAGTATAAACCGTGTCAGAGCTTTTGGGTGTACGGGCTTTAGTTTCGGAGAAAATTTATTGTAAAATGATGTATTTTTCAGCTGTACGGTAAGTACAATGGATAGCTATAATTTTGCATGAAGCGCGCTAGCTGTGCAGGTTAGGCGTGCGGCTACTATTTTGCGTCCGTGCGAGCAGAGTTCAATTCCCCGTAGTGACAATTTTTTTTTGTTTTTTTTTAGAATAAATGATTTTTTATGAATTAATTGTAAATTTATTTATTTATTATTCGTTATAGTAAGAGAACGTATACGTAATGAAAAATATCAATAAATTTTGTGTTTTTATTGTCCTGTGTCTTTATTCATTATAAAATTCCGACATCACTGTACAATGTTGCGGGTGATAATTTATATAAAAACATTCGAAGCATAAATGGATCGCACACCATGAACATTTTATAAACGAAAACTGCGTATTGCAGATACATTTTTTCTTATGTACATCCGGAGGAAAACACAATTGATTAACATTATAAAATATGTCACGTTTATCTGCTAATTTTGACGCGTACCAAGCGAATTCAATTATTTTTACATATCACGAAGCACATAATAAATAATGAGTTAATGATTGAATTCGAATTGCATCATATCGCGAATTTAATTCTTTCTTTTCTTCGCTAACCATAATATCCGGACAATTTTGAATACGTTTTATAATAATTTTCACTTGCCTATAAAAATAAACGTCTCAAGGTTGGCAGATTGGAGTACATTTTGGCGATATTATTTGCAAATTGCATGTTGGTTTGTTTTCATCATTTACAAAAATTTCATTGTACATATGAATATTTTTTTGACCTCGCCAAGAGTCGACAATCATCAAGAAGGAATTGTTTCCAACATACGGTTTTACAACTGTTTTTAAATATTCTTTATACAATTGAGAGGTCAGTTTACCCGACTTTGAACAAACGACAATAACATTTTTACATAATTTTACAAGTTCGTCAACTTCTGCTTTGACACGGACTCCAAATGTGTCTCCAGGTTCTTGTAAACATACAAAAACTTTATTTAATAATATTCCGGATTTTGTCATGGAATATTGAGCAGTATGCGAATGAGTTATCTTATTTAAGTCGCCTATAAAAAGTTCTACTGTTTTTTCACCCTTATGTGTGTACGTTCTTGAAACATTAGCTCGATACTCACAACCTGTTTGATCTGTATTGATAATATAATCAGAATCGTAATCCGTAGAAATTGATTGTATCAAGTTTTGAAATTGTATTGCAGATTTGGAAACTTCTTCTGGCGATTTCATTTCTCTTTTGGATACATAGCGAACGACGCGACGATTAGAAATGCCATAATTTTTAATAAAATTCGTTACCGATGCCGATGCTGTAAATTGAAAAACGTTTCCT